AGGCTTTCATGGCCAGAATCACTGGGTTGTTGTAGGTTGTTTTGGGCTATAGGGCCATGTTCTAGAGGCATTCTCTCCTGACGTTTCGCCTGCATCTATGGCAAGCATCCTCAGAGGTAGTGAGGTCTGTTGGAACTAGGAAAAAGGTTTTATATATCTGTGGAATGACTAGAGAGGGACAAAGGACTCTTGTCTGCTGGAGCTAAGTGTGAATGTTTCAACTGACCACTTTGATTAGCATATAATGGCCTGACAGTGCCTGGGGGAATCTTTTGTTGAGAGGTGATTAGATGTGCCTGAGTGTTTACTCTCTGTTGTGAAACATTCCCACCTAGCTCCAGCAGACAAGAGTCCTTTGCCCCACCCTGGACATCATTCCACAGATATATAAACCCATTTCCCTAGTTCCAACAGACCTCACTACCTCTGAGGATGCTTGCCATAGATGCAGGAGAAACATCAGGAGAGAATGCCTCTAGAACATGGCCATATAGCCCGGAAAAACCTACAACAACCCAGTGATTCTGCCTTCGACAATACTCCCTAATTTCTCACAACTCAGCACAGGGAGTATCTCAGGGTTACTTTCTCACAGCCTCAAACATAAACATACATCTCAGAAGTACAACCTTGTGGCATCCATATTACTTAGACATGAAATTACATTTAAACACATTACATACTTCAACATATTCTGGAAGCTCTGCTTCCATTTCAATCGGCGACTCCTAAGTTGGGTTATTGTAGGTTTTTTTCGGGCTATATGGCCATGGTCTAGAGGCATTTTCTCCTGATGTTTCGCCTGCATCTATGGCAAGCATCCTCAGAGGGAGTGAGGTCTGTTGGAAGTAGGAAAAAGGGTTTATATATCTGTGGAATGATGTCCAGGGTGGGACAAAGGACTCTTGTCTGCTGGAGCTAGGTGTGAATGTTTCAACTGATCACCTTGATTAGCATTTGATTGCTTGGCAGTGCCTGGGGAAATCTTTTGTTGAGAGGTGATTAGATTATTATTTATTATTATTAACTTTATTTATACCCTGCTAACATTTCCCGAAGGACTCGGTGTGGCTTACAAAAGGCCAAGGCCCTCAATAAAACAACAGCATAACAAATACAACAATAACAAAAATATGTCCTAGATGTCCTTGTTTGTTTCCTCTCTGTTGTTGTGCTATTCTAATTTTAGAGTTTTGCCTCCAACAGACAAGAGTCCTTTGTCCCACCCTGGTCATTCCACAGATATATAAACCCTGTTTTGTAGTTCCAACAGACCTCCCAACCTCTGAGGATGCTTGCCATAGATGCAGGTGAAACGTCAGGAGAAAATGCCTTTAGAACATGCCCATAGAGCCCGAAAAAAACCTGCAACAACCCAAACCTTTCCCATGTTTTCATGATAGAACCAATTAGGAAAGGACATTTATACCTCAGGAGCCCTCGGTGGTACAGTGGATTAAACTGCTGTATTGCTGAACTTGCTGACTGAAAGGTCACCAGTTTGAATCCGGGGAGTAGGATGAGCTCCCGCTGTTAGCCCCAGCTTCTGCCAATCCAGCTGTTCAAAAACATGTGTCCCTCTCACACAAAGAAAGTTTTTTTTTGTTTTTTAAAAAACCCTTTCCCATGTTTTCATGATAGACCCAATTAGGAGATATGATAGCCATGTATAAATATGTGAGAGGAAGCCACAGGGAGGAGGAGGGAGCAAGCTTCCTTTCTGCTTCCCTGGAGACTAGGGCACAATGGAAGAATGGCTTCAAACTACAAAAGAGGAGATTCCATTTGAACATGAGGAAGAACTTCCTGACTGTGAGAGCCGTTCAGCAGTGGAACTCTCTGCCCCGGAGGGAGTGTGGTGGAGGCTCCTTCTTTGGAAGCTTATAAACAGAGGCTGGATGGCCATCTGTCAGGGGTGCTTTGAATGCAATGTTCCTGCTTCTTGGCAGAATGGGGTTGGACTGGGTGATGGCCCAGGAGGTCTCTTCCAACTCTTGGATTCTAGGATTCTAGGATTCTATGATTCTCCTTCCTCTTCCCCTCTGCCAACACAGTTGTCTTTCTCAGGAGGCCACCCATCCTTGTTCTCTCTGATCTGGAGCCTGTGCTGCACCTCCAAAAGTTCAGCCAAGGTCCACCTCCATGAGGCAGGTGATGCCAGATGAGATGGAGAGTCAGGGGAGTTCAAGCGATAACCCAGTCAAGAGGGACAGAGTGTTTACATGGCGTTCCAGAGTCCACAAAGGCAGGGACACTCAGGCACCATCACTTCCTAGCGCAAGAGAAGAAGTGGCCAGAAGCAACCAAGGGATGCATGGCTTCCTCTACAGCCTCTGTTTAAAGGGCCCCCACCCTCCAAGGTACTTAGAATCCTAGAATCCTAGAGTTGGAAGAGACCTCCTGGGCTATCATCCAGTCCAACCCCATTCTGCCAAGAAGCAGGAATATTGCATTCAAATCACCCCTGACAGATGGCCATCCAGCCCCTGTTTAAAAGCTTCCAAAGCTTCCAAAGAAGGTAGGACCAATGGCACAGCCTTCCCAACTAGACGTCCTCCAGGCAAGTTCCCATTATCTATCTCAAAGACACCCACAGTTTCTCACCAGAGGCTCTGCTTGGCTTTTGGATGGTGGTCAGCTGTGATGTGCTTAGTGAAGGAGGCAAACAAACCATGCCTTCATTGTTGGGTGCAAGGGGTAGGGACTGAGGTGTTCCTATACACAATGACCACACACAGGACCCCGTGCCCTACTTTACATGTCCTACTTTGATGTTTCTGCTGCCCATTCCATGCTTCTGGTCCTACAATACACATCACATTGTGGTAGGAGTGGTAACAGAATGACAAAGTATTGTTAATGGGAAATCATTCTGTTTCTTCCTCAAAGACACAAACACTTGCTCAGAGGGTCATGTGCACATACCACACATAATAATAATAATAATAATAATAATAATAATAATAATAATAATAATAATAATGTTGTTCATTCGTTCAGTCATCTCCGACTCTTTGTGACCTCATGGACCAGCCCATGCCAGAGCTCCCTGTCGGCCATCACCACCCCCAGCTCCTTCAAGGTCAGTCCAGTCACTTCAAAAAAAATTCATAAGCAAAGTAAAAAACATTAACAATAACCAGTGGTTTTAATTACTATTATTTATAATAATAATAAACTTTATTTCTATCCCGCCACCATCTCCCCGATGGGGACTCGGAGCGGCTTACATGGGGCCAAGCCCGGACACGATAATACAGCAATAAAATCAAAACATATACAACAGACAACAACAGCATTATCAAAATGACATTAAAATAATAATAATAATAATAATAATAATAATATAATAATAATAATAATAATAATAATAATAATAATAATAATAATAATAATATAAAAATTCCAATAGACACAGTCATGATAGAGATGACAATGGGTGGGCCACATATTCCAAATAAAAAACATTGGACAAGTTGTAGTTTCTGGGCCATCTTCAAGGGTAGCCCCACGTAGAGAGCATTACAGTAGTCTAGTCTAGAGGGAGTCTGATGTCCATATTCAGTTCATGGTCACAGATGGTGGGTCGCATACACTGCTTCATTGGGCTCCTGGGATTGCTGCAGTTTGCCATTCAACGCAACAGATTGCATAGCATGTCCACATGTGGAAATTTGCACAAAGCAACTCACCTGGGGTTCCTCAGCCTGTATGTGTTGTAAAAAAATCCTAGTGTGTTCTGCAATGTTTGTGTTATCCAGGGCAATGGGCACTTTCACCATCTAACTGGCCACTGACATATGTGACTCCAGACTGTCCACCATCCCAGCATACAGCATCCCAATCCCATGCATGCGCTCCTTTCAGAACCGCTGGCCATAATCTTGAGAATTCTTGGAGAAGAGGAGATGTCCCAGCAGAAGACTGGGAGAGGGAAAATGTTGTCCCAATCTTCAAGAAGGGGGGGGGGGGGAAGAGGAACCACACAATGACCACTGTCCAGTCAGCCTGACATCAAGACCAGGGAAGATTCTAGAGCCGATCATGGAGGAGACAGCCTGCAATCACTTGGAAAGGAATGATGGGATCACTCAAAGTCAACATGGATTTCTTAAAAACAAGTCATGCAGGACTCACCTGATCTCTTTTTTTTTCTGATAGAGTTACAAGCTGGGTAGATGCAGGAAATGCTGTGGATGGAGCAGATCTTGGTTTCAGGAGGCCTTCCTTCGACTAGGTCTCCCATTACTTTCTTGCAAGCAAATTAGTCCACTTTGGGCTAGGCAATGCTACTCTTAGGTGGGTCTGTCATTGGTTAAGTGACCAAATCCAAATGGTGCTTCTCCCCAATGGTTCCTCCTCTTCATCCTGGAAAGAAGTGACTATTGGAGTGCCATAACGAGGGTTCAGACCTGGGCCCAGTGCTCTTCAATATCTTCATTAATGACTTGGGTGGAGATCCAGTTTGCAGATGAGACCAGATTAGGAGGAGGGGCCAGACTTGTTTTCTCATGCACCAGAGACAATGGAGTCATGGATTCAAACTAAAGGAAAAGTGATGCAACCTAAACAGAAGAAAGGACCTCCTAATGATAACAGCATTTGACTGTGGTATATTATGTCTTGCAGACTTGTGGAGTCTCCTTTCTTTTTTGGAGGTTTTTAAAAAGAGACTGGATGACCATCTGTTGGGATGGCTTGGATGGTGTCTTCCTTTGTGGAAGGGGATTGGACTGGCATGTCCAAGGGATGTCTTAGCCTCTTTGATTCTTTGATTTCTGGCTTGTTTTGCTAAGTCAACCATGATGGCCTCCCCTCCCCTGACTCTTGGCCAGGGAGCAACCAGGACTTATATAACACCCTAGAAATCAATGCCAATGAAAACACAGGGAAAAGTTCAGAGAGGTTCATTTCCAGATGACATCAAGGAACCTGGAGGACTTAATGATTAACACAAATCCTTCTGATAAAGTCATGATTACCGGACTATAAATTTCTGGCTGTGGAGCACCACAACTCACCTTCCCCTTCATTGGATCTGGAGACGTTGTTGTGCTCTCTTCACGTTTTGGGATGGAGCCCTTGGGGACGTCAACGGTTCTGCTGGTCATCTGCCTCTCCTGCCTTCTCCTTTCTGCCATCTGGAAGAGCCAGGCCAACAAGAGGGGGAAAATGCCCCCTGGACCACCCCCATTGCCCCTCATTGGGAATGCTCTGCAACTCAAGACCAACCACCTGGACCTGACTCTTAGCAAGGCAAGTACAAGGGCCTCCATCTGTATGGGATTTGTAGTGTCAAGAGGGCACACCATAATGGTTTGAAGAACAGCTGTAGAAAGTAGGCTTGGTTGATCCAAACAAAATGGTTCAAAACTCATTTCGGATTTAGGGGGTGCTGGTGGTTCAATTCGGAATTGAATTCCAAATTTTTCCGAAAAAATTCAGAACTTTCTGAAATTTCCAAAAATTTTGAATTGCTTTCTAAATGACGAACGGGATTGCGCAATACATGGAAATCAGCAAATGGCACTGGGCAAACTTCAGGGGATTTTTCTCTCCCTCATTTTTAGACCAATCCTGATGATTTCACAAGTTAGGGAAGGAGAGGCTTGAACGTATGGGATTTGTAGTGTCTTTTGTGGCAAAGCACAGCAAACAAATCAAGCAGAGCAAGAGAGGGGCATTTTGGGGCCTTGGAAGCAGATTTCACAAGTTAGGGAAGGAGAGGCTTGAATGTATGGGATTTGTAGTGTCTTTCATGGCAATGCACAGCAAACCAAGGAACAAATAGAGCACAAAGAAACCTCATGGACCATCCCACGCCAGAGCTCCCTGTCAGACGTCACCACCCCCAGCTCCTTCAAGGTCAAGCCAGTCGTTTCAAGGATACCATCCATCCATCTTGCGCTTGGTCAGCTCCTCTTCCTTTTTTCCTTCCATTTTCCCCAGCATGGTTGTCTTCTCTAAGCTTTCCTGTCACCTAATGATGTGACCAGAGGACTTCATCTTGGCCTCTAGTCTCCTTCCCTCCAATGACCAGTCGGGCTTTCTTTCCTGGAGGATGGACTGGTTGGATATCCTCGCAGTCCAAGGCACTCTCGGGACTTTCCTCCAACACCACAGCTCAAAAGCATCTCTCTTCCTTCGCTCAGCCTTCCCAAAGGTCCAGCTCTCACATCCGTAGGTGACTCCAGGGAAGACCATGGCTTTGACTAGGCAATGGATCTTGGTTGCCAGTCTGATGTCTCTACTCTTTACTATTTTATCAAGATTGGACATTGCTCTCCTCCCAAGAAGGAAGCGTCTCCTGATTTCCTGGCCACAGTCTGCGTCTGCACTCATCTTTCCACCTAGAAATACAAACCCTGTCACGGCCTCCACATTTTCTCCCTCTATTTCCCAGTTGTCAATCCTTGTTGCCATCATCTTGGTTGTTTTGATATTTAGCTACAACCCAGCTTTGTATTTGTATTTTACTTTAATTTTTTTTGTTCTAATTGATTGCTTCTGCTTTTGTGTATTATTATTATTATTATTATTATTATTATTATTATTATTATTATTTGCAGCTCAGTGAGAAGTATGGCCCTGTCTTCTCCTTGCATTTTGGAATGAAGCCTGTTGTGGTGCTCCATGGCTACGATGCCGTCAAAGAAGCCCTGATTGATCAGGCCGAGGAGTTTGCTCCCCGAGGGAAGATGCCATTCGTAGATAAATACTTTCAAGGCAAAGGTACGTTGTGGTGTTTTGTGGCTCCCAAGAGGGACACTGACGGGGACCAAAGGGAACTCTCTCCTCCAAGTACAAGGGATTTGGAAGCACACAGACGAAAACAATGGGGAGAAAAACAGAGGGGAGAAAGGTGCTTCAAAATGGCGATGAATGACAGAACGAAGTGTTTTATAGCCAAGGTCAAGGAATAAACCATTTGGGGCCCTGAGTGGGAAGGAGCCTGAGAACACAAACCAGCTTGGCCTGGAAGATCTAGAGGCTGGACAGAGGAACATTCTGGAGTTGAGTGGGTTGGGGTTTGGGATTGAAACTGTGAAGTAGCCCATATTTTCTTCTTTCGTAACTTTGCTGTATAGTAATAACCTTAAAAACATTTCCAAGATTTCTTTGTGAGTGAATTTAATTGCTACTAAGTCTTTGCAATTGTCACATTAGGTTTTCTTGGCAAGAGTCGCTCAGAGAGGGTTAGCTCTTGCCTTGCTCTGAAGTTGAGAGTGTGTGACACTTTGGTTAGTACTTAGACCACACAGACAAAATGGAATGTTGTGTCCAATTCTGGGCACCACAATCCAAGAGAGATATTGACTCTAAGCTGGAATGTGTCCAGAGGAGGGCGACTAAAATGATCAAGGGTCTGGAGAACAAGCCCTATGAGGAGCGGCTTAAGGAGCTGGGCATGTTTAGCCTGAAGAAGAGAAGGCTGAGAGGAGATATGATAGCCATGTATAAATATGTGAGAGGAAGCCACAGGGAGGGGGGAGCAAGTTTGTTTTCTGCTTCCCTGGAGACTAGGACGCAATGGAGCCATGGCTTCAAACTACAAGAGAGGAGATTCCATCTGAACATTAGGAAGAACTTCCTGACTGTGAGAGCCGTTCAGCAGTGGAACTCTCTTCCCCGGAGTGTGATGGAGGCTCCTTCTTTGGAAGCTTTTAAACAGAGGCTGGATGGCCATCTGTCAGGGGTGATTTGAATGCAACATTCCTGCTTCTTGGCAGAATGCGGTTGGACTGGATGATGGCCCAGGAGGTCTCTTCCAACTCTAGGATTCTAGGATTCTATGATGTTCCCAAGATGTGAGGCCCCAGGAGTTCAGAGTATATTCTTCTAGCCACTGAACAGGATGCCACTTGGTTTGGGGAAATGATTTCCTCCTAGTAATGTCTGGATATATAATGTGCCTCTGCTATCTCCTTCCCTTTGCAGGGATCATATTCAGCAATGGAGAGAGATGGAAGCAGCTCCGTCGCTTTGCCCTGACCACCCTCCGCAACTTTGGGATGGGGAAGAAGAGCATCGAGGAGAGGATCCGAGAAGAAGCCCAGTATCTCCTGGAACAGCTGCAGGCCACAAAAGGTATGTTGGTTGAGTCAACCACCACCACCACCATCCAGTGATGGACCTTCTGGGAGGTTCCTCCCTTTCTTCTTGCTCAAAGGCAGAGAGGTTGGAAAGTGGAACCCTTGCATGCCTTTTAGTCTTGGGACCCTTTAGATTGTTAATGACTCACCTCTTTGAAGGCTCAACCAGTGTCTGAGAACTTCCCCCTAAAAGCTTGAAGGATCTCTGGCCTGATGTTATCTGGAGCTTTGGGTCCTTTCCCCATTAGAGATGGAGACACCTGACCAAATCTGGCATTCCAACTTCTTTAATTGGAATAAGAGGAAGAGGATTACTATCTTCTGAAGGGCCAACATACATTTCTTGAGTCAACTACCACCACCATCATTCAGTTATGGACCTTCTGCGAGGTTCCTCCCTTCCTTTTGTGTAACGGTTAGAAATGGAAACCCTTGCATGCATTTGGTCATGGGACCCTTTGTAGAGCTGCATTGTCTGTTAGTGACTCACCTCTTCAAGGGCTCATCCAGTGTCTGAGAACTTCCCACCAAGAGTTTTAGGATCTATGGCCTGATGCTATCTGGAAGCTTTGGGGCATTTCTCCCTTAGAGATGGAGGCATCTGGCCAAGTCAGGCTTTCCAATCTCTTTAAATGGAAAAAGGGAATTTCTATCCTCTGAAGAGGCAATGTAGTCCAGTAGTTTGACTCTGGAGACCAGGCTTTGAATCCCTTCTTCTTGTTTGTTTGTGTTGTTCTCATGGTGATAATGGAGTAAGATGGTTCACTGTTGTTCCATTCTGCTTTCTTTGTTTGGTTATTGCCCAAGAAGACCTTCAGGGGTTGATCATCCCCTGTTCCCACTTGATTAGACAGGTGCCTAATCCATCCCTCCACATGGATCTTCAGTCTTGGACCAGGGATGGTCAGAAAGATTCTGAAACCACAAAAAAAGAGGATAGACTTCCTTCATTGGCTAAAGACAACCTGCTACAGCATGGATTGTCCACCAAGGCAGCTGATCTTGTACTCTCAGTCTCGTAGTCTAATGTCTTGGTATAACATGAGCTCTTGGTGAGGCCTGAGAGTGCAACCAGGCCAAGCCCAGAGCACTAAACCTTGTTGCCGCTTGTCTTTCCAGAGCAACCATTTGACCCCACTTTCCTGCTCAACTGCGCTACTTCCAACATCATCTGCTCCATTGTCTTTGGAAAGCACTACGACTATGACGACAAGAAGTTCCTCGCCATCATGGCCGTAATGAATGACAACTTTGAGGTCCTTAGCTCCCCTTGGGGCCAGGTAGGCCCTTTTTTTCTGCTTTGCTGCAAATACACCCCTGTGCTGTGCAGATATTGGTCTTTTATGGTATGTAGTGCCACCTTCCACACAGGTAGATGTGGGAGGGAGGAGAACAGAAGGATTCCCAGAAGAGTGAATGAGGCATATTTAGGCAACAGGAGAAATGTAGGAGTTGTGTCACAATGAGCCTTTGGGGAACTGGGGAACATCTCTTCTACTCAGGAAGAGAACAATTTCTGCTCAAAGAGCAGCTGCAACTGGTGCAAAAGGCTTGGTGCTCTCACACGGCAGGGAGAGTGGGATTCCTCATTTACTTGTATTGACATATCTTTTGTTATCTAACTGGAGAGATTAGCAAGACCACTAGAGTATCATAGAATCATAGAATCCTAGAGTTGGAAGACACCTCCTGGGCCATCATCCAGTCCAACCCTATACTGCCAAGAAGCAGGAAAACTGCATCCAAAGCACCCCTGACAGAGGGCCATCCTGACTGCGAGAGCCATTCAGCAGTGGAACTCTCTGCCCCGGAGTGTGGTAGAGGCTCCTTCTTTGCAAGCTTTGAAGCAGAGGCTGGATGGCCATCTGTCAGGGGTGCTTTGAATGCAATATTCCTGCTTCTTGGCAGGGGGTTGGACTGGATGGCCCATGAGGTCTCTTCCAACTCTATTCTAGGATTCTATGAAAAGCTTCCAAAGAAGGAGTCTCCACCATACTCTGGGTCAGAGAGTTCCACTGTTGAACAGCTCTCACAGTCAGGAAGTTCTTCCTCATGTTCAGGTGGAGGAGAAGAGAGGAGGAGAGGAGGATGAGGAGGAGGAGGAGGAGGAGGAGGAGGAGGAGGAAGAGGAGGAAGAAGCAAAGAGTTGGAAGAGACCTCATGGGCCATCCAGTCCAACTCTCTGCCAAGAAGCAGGAATATTGCATTCAAATCACCCCTGACAGATGGCCATCCAGCCTCTGTTTAAAAGCTTCCAAAGAAGGAGCCTCCACCACACTCCGGGGCAGAGAGTTCCACTGCTGAACGGCTCTCACAGTCAGGAAGTTCTTCCTCATGTTCAGATGGAATCTCCTCTCTTGTAGTTTGAAGCCATGGTTCCATTGTGTCCTAGTCTCCAAGGAAGCAGAAAACAAGCTTGCTCCCTCCTCCCTGTGGCTTCCTCTCACATATTTATACTCACTTGGGGTGCATCTACATGGTGAAATGAATGCAGTTTGACACCACTTTTATTGCCATGGCTCAGTACTACAGAGATGTAGTTTGGTGAGGCACCAGCATACCAGGTAAAAAATACAATTCCTAGAATTTCAATGAACCAAGCGGTGTCAACCTGCATTCATTCTGTAGAGTAGATAATATGTCATAGGAATTGGTCTCCATCTCTCCTTTTCTCTTGTTCTAGAGCTTTGGAAGGACACCTTGGTATCCCTGAGACATGAGGTCAATTTTCAGCTCTTCTGATGGTGAACCTCAATCTCTTTCTTCTTTCTTCCTTTCCAGGTGGCCAACATTTTCCCTTCCTTCATGGACTTGATCCCGGGGCCTCATCACAGAGTAGGGACAAACTTGGCAAAAGCCAGAGCGTTTGTTGTGGAGGAAGTGGAGGCCCACAAGGAGTCCCTGGACCCCAGCTCCCCTCGGGATTTCATTGACTGCTTCTTTCTCAAACTGGACCAGGTAAGGCCACACTATTGACCCTTCAAGGCAAGAGGAGGTGCTGGGACTCCGGATCATCTTCTAGGTGGAACCTTTTGACCATCCCCTTGTTCCACCTAGATCTTTTTCTAGGTGGAACCTCTTGACCATCCCCTTGTTCCACCCAGATCTTCTTCTAGGTGGAACCTCTTGACCATCCCCTTGTACCCCTGTGTTCCTTAGCATTCAATCAATCAAGCTTTCAAAAAGTCTTTATGCAATAGAAGTAGCTAGTCTCAAGCAAGAAGGGTTCAAAACAGCAACTTCATGCGATAACATCCTGATGGTCCATCTTATTCTTCTTAGATGCTTCCCACTTTCCTTCCTCCATTGAATTGTTTGTAATTCTGCAAAGATTTTGACAGAGACAAGCAATGTCCTTCAAATGTATTTCTTTTCTGTCACCAGTCTCTTAACTCCTCCAATGTCTGCATGGACAGATTGTTTTCTGTCACCTTTTATATTTGGTATTACAGATGACTGAATGGAATTAAATTGACCCCACTGCTTCTGATGCATATTTCTCCAGGAAAAGAACAACGAGGCATCTGAGTTCACCACTGAGAACCTGCTAATGTCCACCATTGACTTATTTGGGGCAGGGACTGAAACGACCAGCACCACCCTCAGATACGGGCTCCTGATCCTCCAGAAGTACCCAGAGATAGAAGGTAAAACAAATGCAAGTCCTACAGGAGTTCTCCAATGTTTCCTGCATGTTGGTTTCCTGACCTTGAGTCTCCTTCATCTCCTGGCAGAGAAAGTGCGAGAGGAGATTGACCGGGTGGTTGGTCGCTCGCGGTTTCCTTGCATGTCTGACCGTGGTGAGATGCCCTACACGGACGCTGTCATCCATGAGATCCAGAGGTTCATCTCTCTCGTCCCGATGAGTCTTCCCCATTCAGTGGCCAAAGACACGTTGTTCCATGGATACACCATCCCCAAGGCAAGGCCCCTCTTCTTGCTTCAAGAACTCAACATGATTCCTCTATGATGGAGGGGATTGGTTACCACCTAGAAATATTACCCATGAGGAAGGTTTGAGATAGACAATGCCGTCCTTGGTCTGTTATAGATCCAAACTGGAGAGGGTTTCCAGGTCAATAAGTAGGATCCTGAAGTTAGAGGAAACCCCTAGGGCCACTCAATCCAGGCTTTCTGTCACCCACTCCAAGCCCACTCCATCCTCATAGGGATCTATGGCTTCCATACCTTTGACCAGCTATCTACACTTTCCTTGAACTGTGAGATCTCACCAAAGTAGACAGAGTGGGACTATGTTTTTTTTCAATCTTGACATAGATCTCCTATTGAGGTAACCTAGAATCATATGGGCTTTTTTTGCTGCCGCATCACACTCTTGTCTCATGTCCACCTTGGTGTCTCCTAAGGCTTTGAGATCCCTTCCACTAAACATTTTTTAAAGGAAGGCATTAACTATTCTATACCTGTGCATTTCAAGTGTAGATGAAGGGCGAGAAGGCAGGATCATCAAGTTTGCAGATGACACCGAATTGGGAGGGAGAGCCAAGACTCCAGAGGACAGGAGCAGGACTCAAAGGGATCTCGACAGATTAGAGAGATGAAGGGCCAAAACTAACAAAATGAAGTTCAACAGGGACAAATGCAAGGGACTCCACTTAGGCAGGAAAAAAAAAGATATGTAAAGAGAAAGAATGGGGGACGATGCCTGGCTCGAGAGCAGTACGTGTGAAAAGGATCTTGGGGTCTTCGTGGACAGCAAGTTAAACATGAGCCAGGAATGTGATGTGGCGGCAAAAAAAAGCCAATGGGATTTTGGCCTGCATCAAGAGGAGCCTAGTGTCTATGTCCAGGGAAGTCATGCTCCCCATGCTCTATTCTGCTTTGGTTAGACCACTTTACCTGGAGTATTGTGTCCAATTCTGGGCACCACAATTCAAGAGAGATATTGACTCTAAGCTGGAATGTGTCCAGAGGAGGGCGGCTCAAAGGATCAAGGGCCCTATGAGGAGCGGCTTAAGGAGTTGGGCATGTGTAGCCTGAAGAAGAGAAGGCTGAGAGTAGATATGATAGCCATGTATAAATATGTGAGAGGAAGCCACAGGGAGGAGGAGGGAGCAAGCTTGTTTTCTGCTTCCCTGGAGACTAGGACGCAATGGAACAATGGCTTCAAACTACAAGAGAGGAGATTCCACCTGAACATGAGGAAGAACTTCCTGACTGTGAGAAAGAGCTGTTCAGCAGTGGAACTCTCTGTCCTGGAGCGTAGTGGGGGTTCCTTCTGTGGAGGCTTTTAAGCAGAGGCTGGATGGCCATCTGTTGGGGGTGCTTTGAAGGTGATTTTTTTTGCTTCTTGGCAGAATGGGGTTGGACTAGATGGCCCACCAGATCTCTTCCAACTCTAGGATTCTAGGATTCCAGGCCATTCTGATCTTTCCTCACCTTTCACATACATTTTCACTTCCTCCTCACCTTTCTTTAACCTGTTCTCCAAGCTTTCCTCTTATAAAATTCACACTTTGACGATCTCAGTCCCTTCAGTTTAAACCCTGGTTGGGAATGAACCAGTGTGTTGTGGTTCAACAGCAACAGCATGATGGGAATGAGAGTGCAGAACAACATGCTGAGAATGAGAGTGCAGATGTTGGCTTTCAGTTTTCTCAGTCACAGCCTGTAGCTAGAGACAAGCCGCTGTTCTCACAAGAACGGAATGCAGCTGATAAGGCAGTCGGTGGGAATCAGGGTCAAGCTGGCCAGGTGTTGAGACGGAGCCCACGGATTGCGGCCAAATGTTGAGATCATCCGTTGGTGGGAAAACTGCTTGTTAGCTGCTTGTTTGCTGCTTGTTTGATGTTCAATGTTTTGATGTTTAACGTATAAGTACTCTGCCTTGGAGCTTGCTCAGTGTTAGTTCCAACGTTGCTTTATGGCTTGCTTCGGTTCTGGGGCCTTGGAAAAGGCTGCTTCATGTTACCTCATGCTATTTCCTGGACTTTACTCTGACTCTATGCTTCAAGTCTCCTGCCTTGGCAAAAGGGATTATATTGGATTTTTACCTTGTACTTCTGATCTTCTCACTGCTTATGTACTGCTTTGTTTGAATACCTCACAATAAACTTTATACCTCACAACTGTGGCTGGTTTGTTAAAGGTAGCGAGATGAATCTTAGCCTGAGATACAACACAGTGGAAGAAAGGAGTTGCACTTTTGGTGAGCCCAACAGGAGCATAGATATTACTCCAACCATCATTTTTGTGCTTATCCAAGTGCCATAATGTATGACATCAAGAGCCACCCCCCTGCCCCCAATTGAGCCACACAGTTGTTGCCATGAGTGGGGCCCCACATTGTCCTTATGGAGTAGGGCAGATTTGAAGGAACGTGAGGTGTCTACTTAGTGTGAACTCAGTGGTAAACCACTTCTCTCCCTGGGTGCATCTTTCTCTGCAGGACACCACAGTGCTTCCTGTGTTGACCTCAGTGCTTCATGATGGCAAGGAGTTCCCCAACCCCACAGAGTTTGACCCACAGCATTTCCTGAACAAGGATGGGAGCTTCAGGAAGAGTGACTACTTCATGCCCTTTTCTACAGGTAAAGATGGCACTGCAGGTCTTGGGTGGGTTTGGGGGGGGGGGTCTATTCAGGCAAGAATGAGAAGATTTTCCCCTGACATTAAGTCCAGTTGTGTCCAACTGTGGAGGGTTGGTGCTCATCTCCATTTTTAAGCCAAAGAGCCAGCATTGTACATAGACACCTCCTTGCTCATGTGGCCAGCATGACTGCATGGAGTGCCATTCCCTTCCTGCTGGAGATATTGATCTACTATGTTGGCAGTAGCTGGGGCTAACAAAGGGAACTCACCCTGCTCCCCAGATTTGAACCAGTGACCTTTTGGTCAGCAAGTTCAGCAGCTCGACAGTTTATCCCACTGCGCCACTGATCAGTCTTTGCTGGATGATCAGTCTGACCATAATATATCGAATCCTTCAGAGAAAAAGAAGCACCCCAATCTTGGCTCCTCCAAAAGGGAGAGATCATGATCCAATATCAGGGCAGCCATTCGGGTTCCGGGCGTTTGAAGCCATTTCCCACATTGTATTTGTAATGGGGATATGTGTCTTTCCCTACCATCCAAGTCCACATGTTATACATGTTGCCAAGACAAAGTGCCTCCAAGGAGAAGTTCATAGATAAACCCACTCTACAAATCTGTAGCAGTTTGAAGCTACTTTAGCACCCATGGCTTCATTCTACCAGATAGTGGGATTTGTAGATCGAAGAGGAGGAATCAGATCCTTCCTCCAGGGAACTCTATCCCACCAACTTATAGAGTTAGGTCTTTCTAGCAGAGAACCCCAAGTCCTGAACAAGATGCCAGGATGAGGATCCCATGGAGAATGAATGCAATTTGGCACCAGATTAACTGCTATGGAATCCTGGGAGTTGTAGTTTGGTGAGGCACCGGCACTCTTAGGCAGAGCAGGGTAAAGCCCTTAGAAATCTACAACTTCTATGACCTCATAGCATTGAGCCATAGCAATTAGGAGAGGCAAAGAAATAATTGTTGTTGTTGTTGTTGTTGTTGCTGCTGCTGCTACTACTACTACTACTACTATAGTGGTTTCCACCTGCCTTCATTCTACAGTGTAGATGTAATTAATAATAATAATAATAATAATAATAATAACAACAACAACAACAATAACAATAAAAACAACAACAACAACAATAATCTTTATTTATACCCCACCACTATCTCCCTAATGGGGACTCAGGGCATCCCTTTGGCAGCCTCTCAGTGATATGATGCCAAAAAGAAATGCTGAAGCATGGCCTCTGAGACCTCTCTCTTCCTTTGCTTTCCTACCTTTCTCTTCTTCCTTGCAGGGAAGCGCATCTGCGCAGGGGAAGGCCTGGCCCGCATGGAGCTCTTCTTGTTCTTGACCTCCATCCTCCAGAACTTCAAGCTGAAGCCCCTCACCCACCCCCAGGACATCGACATCAAGCCCCACCTGAGTAGCTTGGGAAACATTCCCCGGTCCTATCGTCTCTGCGTTGTGCCCCGATGAGCGCGTTGTACCCATTTAAGGTGGAATCAGGTGTCAAACAGGGATTATGTGTTATTGCCCCAACCTTGTTTTCCATCTTCATCGCTATGATACTTCATCTTGTTGACGGAAAGCTTCCCACTGGAGTGGAAATCATCTATCAGACAGATGTCAAGCTGTTTAACCTCAGCAGACTGAAAGCCAAAACCATGGTTACAACAACATCTGTTATAGAACTCCAATATGCTAATGACAATGTCGTCTGTGCGTGTAATAAGAAATTCAATGTACAAATTTGACAAATATGAATTTAATAATTATGTGTGGGAATGAATGGAAGAATGCAAGGATGTATGAATGGAATTAATAATTTTGGAAACACCAGTATAATATTAATGCCTGCAATGACAAACTACCTGCTTACTGGACTTGCTAATGAGAAACCCTGATAAGAACGGGAGAGTGATAAAGGAAATATTTGCAACATTCCTTATCTTAAGAAGGAAGTCAACACAAGATCAACACCAATCAAGAAGATAAACATCTGGCTAGGAAACTGAGATGGATCCAGGATGGAAGATGTCTGTCATTAATTTACAACTTTGGGACGACATCAGCAGAATATTCCTATAAAAGACTCAGTCTAATAATGCTCAAAGTGTGGCAGACCTGAGGAGTCTGTTCCACCCACCATGCTCTGCTCCATGGGAAGGAGAGAGATAGTGGACGTATGGAGAGTGGCAGATCTTCAAGGGGGCAGTCTGGACACTTTGGGGCTTCTTTCTCAAGGGAAGAGGAAGAAGTGCGCTTTTGGAGTCTTGGATTTTGTGCAGGGAGTCAGGTTCTGCTGTGTGGAAAACAGAGATCTGGTCCTTGGCATTGTGTTTAGGGAAAGAAGTTTTGGCATTTCAGCGTTTTGAAGTTTTGGCATTATGGAAGTTATGGAACTATACGTTGGCAGGCTGCAGGAAAGCAGGGTCTGGCCTAAGAGGGGCTTCTCCAAGGAGGGAGAAAAGGATATGGTAATATTTGGATGCATGTGGATGAATGCCTGTATATGTGGTGTGAATGTTGAGTGAAAATGTAATTCCCCTTTGTTTGTTTGTTAACCAGTGTAATTGTAAATCCAATGTAGTTGCATAGAATCTGTATGTCTGTATATCCAATGTCATTCGTTGTCTAAATGTTTACTGGCTACCAGTATTTAAAAATTCTAAAATTACAACAGCACAACAACAGAGAGGAAAAAAACAAGGACATCTAACCACCTCTCAACAAAAGTTTGCTCCAGGCACTGCCAGGCCATCAAATGCTAATCAAGGTGGTCAGTTGAAACATTCCCACCTAGCTCCAGCAGACAAGAGTTTTTTGTCCCACCCTGGTCATTCCACAGATATATAAACCCTTTGTCCTAGTTCCAACAGACCTCACCACCTCTGAGGATGCTTGCCATAGATGCAGGCGAAACGTCAGGAGAGAATGCCTCTAGAACATGGCCATATAGCCCGAAAAAACCTTCCACATCACAATAATGTTGCATAAAAAAATCAAACTGTGCAGGAAACTTACATAGTCTTTGTAAATAACAGAAAGTAAGGCATCTTCTTCTTAAATCAAATGAGAGAGCAAAAAATAAACCTTCAGTAAATTACTTACTTACTTACTTAGGCGATCCCTCCTAGTCTGAGGATGATGGTCCTCCAACATCAGTGTCCTGGGGGTAGGTCTGTAGGTGACCGTGGAGCCCTATTCTTGATCTGGGGGTGAGTCCATACGTGACTGTGAGCCCATCCCTATCAGAGCTGTTTTGGAAGTGAAATAGAGACTGCCTGGGAGTCTGGTTAGTCCTTCTCTGGAGCTGTTTAAGCAGAGGCTGGATGGTCACCTGTTGGAAGGGCTTGCATTGTGTCTTCCTGCCTGGCAGAAGGGGGGTTGAACTGGATATCTTTGAGGGAATCCCCTCCAGTTCTATCATCCTATTTCCTAAGCAATGATTACAAATGGCGCTTTCCAAGAAAGTTGGCCCACATGGATAATAATGGTTACTTGCTTGTGCATGGAACCTCGAGGGCTTTTCAGTGTGCATCTGTTCTAATCATGACTTAGACTGGAATGCCCAGGAACGGGATGAGGATGACCTGCCTTGACAACAGTCCATGTTATTAGATCCCTGACAACAATCCCTTCTGTGCCTAACAATAATTATTGATCTGGCCCCTTCTGCTGAGGTTTTCCGGAACTATTTCGCAGACAAGATCTTGCTTCTCCGCCGGGATCTCCCTGCCACGATTGATACAGTAAGTTAACTTGAGACTCCGTGGCCACTCACTGGGCCCATCCTCGACCGGTTCACCCTGCTGGATGCAGAGGCTGTCGATAGGATCATGACTGCAACTAGGCTGACCACCTGCTCCCTTGATCCGTGTCCCTCCTGGCTAGTAAAATCTTGCCTGGAGGGATTACGTGAACCTCTGTTGAATATAATAAATAGCTCCCTTGAGCAAGGAGTTTTTCCAGAGGGTTTAAAAGAGGCGCTGGTATCTCCGCTGCTGAAGAAACCAGACTTAGATCATTCAGTTCCCTCTAGCTACCGCCCAGTCTCGAACCTTCCGTTTCTGGGCAAGGTGGTGGAGAGGGCAGCAGCGGAGCAGTTGCAGCAGTTCCTCAATGACACAGCCGAACTCGATCCCTTCCAGTCCGGCTTCTGTAGTGGGCACAGGACGGAGACTGTGCTAGTCACCATCACAGATCAGCTTCGCTGCCAGATGGATCAAGGTGGATCAGCGCTGCTTGTGTTATTGGACCTCACAGCAGTAGGGTTGGGCGGTTTCGTTCGTTAATTTCATAATTCGTTATTAATTCGTATTTAAATTAGCTTACGATCCGATATTGAGCCATGCAGGAGTAATTAAAAAACAAAACAAATTTTTTGAATTTATTTCGTAATTGTTTCATAATTGTTTCGTAATCGATCCGTAATTGTTTCGAAATCGTTTCGTAATTGTTTCGTAATTATTTCCGTATGTCTGGTGCAAGTTTTAGGGTTGTTGTTTGTTTTATCAGTGATAAAAAATATAATTATCACACCAACAGTCAACAACAGAGGGAGAGGGAGGCTTCAGAAGTTCCCCCGGTCCCATTTGGAGGGGTTTTTAGCGTATTGCGCAATCGCGTCCGCCATTAACGAATCAATTCGTAATTGTTTCAAAATCGTTTTGTAATTTTTCGTAATTTTACGAAATTTCGTATATTTCGAACTTTTTTAAAGGAAAATTTCGGAATTCTTTTAAAAAACGAAACGCAAAAACCCCCTAAAAACGAATAGAGTTTAGAAACAATTTTTTCCGTGGTTACCCATCCCTACACAGCAACATTTGATACGGTCGATCACAATCTACTGACCCTCCGCCTAGCCATGACTGGGGTGAGGGGGATATCCCTTAAATGGGTGTCCTCCTTCCTCCAGAATCGGGGACAGCGTGTGGTGAGGGGAGGGATGGTTTCCGAGAGGTCTCCGCTAACTTGTGGGGTCCCGCAGGAAGCTATTCTCTCTCCTCTATTATTTAACATCTATATGTGACCGCTTGCCCGACTGGTGTGGAGCTTTGGGCTTGAGTGCCACCAGTATGCTGATGACACTTAGCTCATTCTGAGGATGGAGGGCTGGCTGGACTCTGTACACGAAAATTTCTGTCAGTGCCTTGAGGATGGTGGTGTGCCAGCAGGTTGAGGGTGAACCCAGCAAAGACGGAGATGATCCTTTGGCTGGGCCGTCCGGGTGGGAGGGAGATCCAGCTGCCTACCCTGGATGGCGAGACACTACGTCCGTCACCTTCTGTAAGAAGCCTTGGTGTCTTATTGGACCCTCTGCTGCTCACAATGGAGGCCCAGGTCTCTGCTGAGAGCAGATTGCGTTTTTCCACCTACATCAGGCTAGGCGACTGGCTCCCTTCCTCTCTAGGAACGACCTGGCTATGGTGATCCAGGCGACGGTCATCTCAAGGCTTGACTACTGTAACGCCCTCTACATTGGCCTTCCTTTGTCAGTGATCCGGAAACTGAAGCTGGTGCAAAATGTGGCGGCTCGTCTTCTGGTTGGGGTGCCGGCGAGGTGTCATATCACCCCAATTCTACAACAGCTGCACTGGCTTCCGATTGAGTACCGGATTACTTTCAAGGTGCTGGTACTAAGCTTTAAGGCCTTATATGGTCTGGGGCCAGCGTACCTGAGGGCCCGCTTATCCCCCTACCAACCCCAGAGATTACTTCGGTCCGAGGACCAAAATTTGCTTGAATTCCCCAACATCCAGACTTATTATCTGTCCTCGACTAGGCAGAGAGCCTTCCCGATTGTGGCCCCTTATTTATGGAATGCCTTGCCAGTTGAAACCCAAACCATCCGAGAGCTACTTGCTTTTGGGAAAGCCTGTAAAACCTTTCTCTTCCGACAAGCTTTCGATGGGTGAATAACTCGGGACTATGTCTGTTTCGCATTTTTATTGCATTTTAAAGTTGGTTGTATTGTTTTAATCTACTGCTGTAAACCGCTCCGAGCCAAATTGGGAGTGGCAGTATACAAGTCAAATAAATAAATAAATAAATAAAAATGTTCAGGTGGAATCTCCTCTCTTGTAGTTTGAAGCCATTGTTCCATTGCGTCCTAGTCTCCAAGGAAGCAGAAAACAAGCTTGCTCCCTCCTCCTCCCTGTGGCTTCCTCTCACATATTTATACATGGCTATCATATCTCCTCTCAGCCTTCTCTTCTTCAGGCTAAACATGCCCAGCTCCTTAAGCCGCTCCTCATAGGGCTTGTTCTCCAGACCCTTGATCATTTTAGTTGCCCTCCTCTGGACACATTCCCTCCAACTCTATGGTCCTATTTCTTTGTGGAATAGCTATGAATGGATCAGATTCCAGTTGTGAATATATAATGAAACTGAGGAATGTGGTGGAATCATTACCCTGTTCCCCTTTATTAAAGTTCTGGTCAGTTTTCCCGAGCTTTTCAAAAATCCAGTCTTTCAATGATAACAGTCCCTCCTGTCAACAGGAATGGTCCCAGAGCCAGATGTATAATGAACTCCTGCATGTTCTGAGTACATCTGTCTATCAAGGATATTGCAACGTTGGCCATTAGGGCAATTCTTGTCAAACTTGAATCAAAATGTCATATTCACAGAGAGGTCTCCAAAGCAGGGATTTTATTGAACAAGTGGCAATCTTCTGTAAGAAGGTACATCTGTGACAGGCAACCAGTTTCCTCCCCTCCTACTCTGGTGTTAGTGAATGCTAGGTCCATAAGGAACAAAACTGCTACCATCAGGGACTTTCTTAATGATCAGGGAGCTGACCTAGTGTGTATTACAGAAACTTGGATCCAAGAGGGGGATGAGATCCTACTCCAGGAAATAACATCTCCAGGTTATGCAATCACTCACCAGATGCGGACTGGGAGGCGGGGGGGTGGGGTGGCTATGCTCACCCGAGAAAGTTTTTCTCTTAGGACAGTTCCTGTGCTGAGCATCCCTGGCATTGAAAGTGTTGGCCTGGTGTGGGATTCCTGTGAGAGCACAGCCTTTCTGCTGGTATACCGTGCGCCCAGCGCACCAGCGGACAGCCTATCCCAGCTGCTTGAGACTGTGTCGGAGTGGTCCCTGAGGTTCCCCAGACTTATCGTCTTGGGGGATTTCAACGTCCACGCTGATGCAGACTCTTGTTCATCAGCGGCTATGGACCTAGTGTCTACCATGGAGACACTAGGACTCTCCCTCTGTACTACTGGGCCCACGCATCGGGCGGGGCACATGTTAGATTTGATTTTCAGCGCAGGAATTCAAGTGACCCAAGCCTCCACAATAGAGGTTCCATGGTCGGATCACTGCGCCCTGAGAGTCCAGTTGGAGCATGCCTACCCACGCTGCAAGGGCGCCGAGCCAATTTGGGCTCGCCCAAGGAGACTTATGGAACCCAGTAGGTTCCGGAATGCTCTGAGGGATCTGGAGCCTGCCAGCGACTCGATCGATGTGCAGGTGGACACATGGAA